AAGGCCTGGTGGGCCAGGATGTGCTCCAGTCTCTCCTCCTCCCCCGTCATCTGCTCCTGTGTGCTCTGATCAGATATATCCTTCTCCCGGAGCTGCGGATTCAGTGCCAACCTTTGAAATAACTTCTCGGGGGAGACTTGCCCTTGTCTTAGGCAACAAATTTACCCAGTGAAGTGCATATTTTGATCTTTTGACTGGTGTCTCCTTGAACATTGATTGTGGATCCAAGTAAGGCAAATTCAATCTTACCCATTAATCCTGATGTTGCCTATTGGTCCAGTTGTGAGAATTTGGGTCTTTACATTGAGTTGTGATCCATCCTGAAAGCTGCATTCCTTGATCTTCATCAGCAAGTGTTTCAAGTCCTCCTTACTTAAAACAAGCAAGATTGTGTCATCTGCATTCTGCATGATATTAAGCCTTTCTCCAAACTTCATTCTTCTTCGAATAATCCAATTTCTCTGATAATTTACTCAGCATAAAGATGTAGCAAGCATGGTGAAAGGATACAACCTTGTTGTACTGCCTTCCTGACTTTAAACAATGCAACATTCCCTTGTTTTGTACATATGACTGTCTCTTGATCCATGTACAAGTTCCATGTGAACACAATGAAGTCGTCTGAAAAGCCCATTCTTCTCAAGGCTCTCCATAGTTCTCAATGTTCCCTACAGTCAAATGCCTTGGCATAGTCTGTCCAACACAAGTAGACACCTTAGGAGTATTCTCTGCTTTGAGCCAAGGTCCATCTGACACCAGCAATGATATCCCTTGCCCACTTGAATCCAGCCTGAACTTCTGTCAGCTCCCTGTCATTGTACTACTGTAAGCATTGTTGAGTGATCTTCAACCAAAACTTAACTTGCTTGTGATATCAATGGTATTCTATAATTTGAGCATTCTCTTGAGTCAGCTTTCTTTGGAATGGATCTCATCCAGTCAGTTGGCCAAGTAGCTGCCTTCCAAATTTCCTGGCACAAACAAATGAATGTTCTTCATTGTATCATCTGCTTGTTGAAACATTTCTATTGGTATTCCCATCAATTCCTGGATCCCTGATTTTGGCTAATGTTTTCAGTGCAGCTTGAAGTTCTTCCGTCAGCACTATCAGTTCTTGGCTTTTGAATACTACCTCTTGAAATGGTAAGTTATTGACTAGTTCTTTTTGTACAGTGATTGTGTATTCTTCCCACTTTCTTTTGATGCTTCTTGCATCATTGAATATTTTGCCCAAAGAATCTTTGAATATTGCAATTCAAGGCTTAAGTTCTTTCTCGCGAGTTCTTTCTGTTTATGATATGCTGAATGGGTTCTTTTGGTTTTCTAGTTCTGAAGTCCGCACATTTCATTATTTTTGGCTTTGTCTTCTTGAACTGCCCTTTGACATTTTCTATTTAGCTCTCTGACTTTATCATTTCTTCTATTTTGCCCTAGCTACTCAAGATTAAGAACAAATTTCAGAGTCTCTTCTGATTTCCACTGCGATATTTTCTTTCTTTCTGGTCTTTGACCTTTTGCTCTCTTCATGATATTCTTGTCCTCCCACAGCTTGTCAGCCCTTCTGTCGTTAGTGTTCCATGTCTCAAATCTGTTTTTTGTTTGTTTTTATTCAAATCGGTTTTTGAGAGTTTGTGAAATTCAGGTGGGCCATATTTTGGCCCTTGTGGACTTGTTTTAATTTTCTTCAGCTTTAACTTGAACTTACATGTGAGTAATTAATTGATGGTCTATTCTACAGTCAGTTCCTGGCCTGGTTGTGCCTGAAAATATGTCTCCATTTGTTTTTAAACTATATCATGCCTGATGCTTTATACTGAGAAACCACTTCCATGAGGTGTATGGTTCTGCCTCAGAAGGATCCATAACCGTGCGAACTCTACACGAGTAGAAAGCCCTCGTCTTTACTGTAGAGCAACTAGTGGTTTCGAATTGCTTACCTTGCAGTTAGCAACCCAACGCATATATCACTATGCTACCAGGGATCCTGTTTCTTCACTAGTAGACTTAGGAAAAGAAACAAACATCCTAGAAAACTCATAACCAAGTACTTTAAAACACAGGTGAGATAGTAAGCTGGGCATACTTTCTTCTTGCGTGGTACTACCTTCCCTAACACCACTTAATAAATGAGTGTGAACTGTCTCTCCCTGTTAGTCCTTGAGATTTAATTCTTGGTTATAGAAACAGACAACTGATTTTAAAGAAAAGTACGGTATGTATTTTCTTGCTATTTATAGTTTAAAGCAGTGGTTCTCAACCTTCCTAATGCTGCGACCCTTTAATGCAGTTCCTCAACCATAAAATTATTTTTGTTGCTACTTCATAACTGTCATTTTGCTACTGTTATGAATCGGGCAACCCCTTTGAAAGGGTCGTTCGTTTGACGTCACCCCCCCCCAGGGGTCGCGACCCACAGGTTGAGAACCGCTGGTTTGAAGAATCTGCCTATATAATTCTTACTAGCTGAAAGAAATTAATGGTTAATAAACTTTTGTTTAGAAATATTTTGTTCACATAAAACTAGAATCTTTTGATTATCCTCGAGTTTTAAAAAATTATGAGCTTGTAGAATTTGTAATATTGAGGGTACTTCATTGTTTTTAGCTTTGATTATTCTAGGTTTGAAGTGACTTTGAGGCAAGATTTAAAAATGTAGCATCCATTAATTGACTAAAATGAGTTAAACTAAAAAGTATTTGTGTTCAAAGTGAGTACCTAATTGCAGCGGAGGACCGTGCCTTTTTATGAATTTTTTTTTCTTTTTATTAAAAGATAATTTTATTATGGGTTCTTAAAACTCATAACAATACATCAATTGTATTAAGCATATTTGGACATATGGTGCCTTCTTTTCTAGACGTTTACTTTCTATTGATCCCTTGGTATCAGCTCCCCTCCCCACCCCACCCCCGTCCCTCCGCAGTTTCTTTTTAAATAACAAGAATTAATAGACTTAGTAGAAAACTAGAAGTTGACATTTAGATAGCCATGCTGCATTGGGCCATTTTCTAGGCACACCAACTAGAAAAGTCACTGCCGGGCAGGACTCACAGGTTGCCGGTTGCCTGCTTCTGCTTCAGATTCCGCCTGCTCCTGCAAAACCGGACTTTGATGGTCCTCGAGAGAAGATGCAGAAGCTGGGAGAGGGCGAAGGGTCTATGACTAAAGAAGAATTTGGCAAAATGAAGCAAGAACTGGAAGCGTAAGTTGGTTTGTTAATGGATGGACGACGTCTTTTGAAAGGTGGAGAATGGGTGATTGATGTACACAGAAATACCCAGGGGAATCTGACACCTGGTTTTGTTTTTTAAAAGATAATCAGTTGCCTACTGTATTTTTCTAGAACTGCATTTTGGGAGTTTCGGACATGATTTTTTTTTTTTTTTACTTTAAGCACTTAGTA